ATATTAGATTAGGGATTTTCGATGAAAATTTCCAGAGCTAGGGCTTTTTGCGACTGCAAAATTGCAATTCTACAGAGGACTTTTGCGAATTTTCCTAAACTAGGCTCCACAGGTCTAATCACGGTTTTCGTCCCCCTTTTGCTGGGTACTGGCAAAGGGGTCAGAAATTACAGTATTTGTATGGAAATTAATTGGATGGGAACTTTACCATACTGGGTAGCAGATTGTATTCACCAAATTTGAAGGACGTAGCCGGGCTAGAAGACGCTCACTACAGTTGATTTTTAATTTTTCTATAATTTTTTCACGCGAACCGCGTCTACCCAGCCAAATATACAGACAAATGTACCGAAAATTAGAGAAATAGCTGAGCGTCTTCCCGCCAAGCTACATCCTCGAACTTGGTGAATACAATCTTCTACCTGGTATTTTAACGTTGCGATCCACAAATTTTGTAAAATTCAGTTTTTGAAAAAGGTTATTTGTCATCGGGTTCCCATACAAATACTGTAATTTCTGACAACTTTGCCTACCCGTCAAGATGGAGTCGAAAACCGTGACAACACAAAGTCTGATGACGACTGCAAAGTGGTGTGGTGAGGAGCGCTGCGTGACGCTCTTAGGCCATCCGTAGAAGAAACCACATTTTACGCTGTATGAGTTCAGAGAACACCCAGGCCTAAACCGTCAGCTTTCTCAACTCATCCAAAACAATGTTCTATCATGCAGATTTTAATGACTTCTACTTAAAAAACACAACTTTTAGATTATACTCATATAAACCAGACCGTGTAATAATTCACTCACTTGAACATAACTAACCTCCAGAATCATCAATAACCTATTTTGTTATATAGCTGGCGTTTTTCCCGCTACAGTGAAGTTTTATGGAGGAAAAAAAACAAAACTTCAAATTCCACACACTGAGTGGGAAAAAGTAAAAGGTGTTACATTTGTATTATAACAATATAGTATAAATCATGACAAGCACCTTGGTTGCGAGTCCCCAGATGGCTGGTCTGCCAATGAAAACAGCTCGTGCCCCTAAAGCCAGAGCCTTCAGTACATCTGTACCTAGTCTTATTCCACCATCAATGTAGACTTCACCCCTTCCTTTAACTGCCTCCACAATCTCTGGCAGAACGTCAATCTACCAAAAGAAAATATTACGGTGTTTAATGAATTTAAGTCTGTGTATTACTATACGTTTATTAAAGGGGAGAGTTTCTGTTCAATGATTATCACCTCCAAACACGATAGCTTCAGATATTTGGAGGGCTACTTCTTTTAGTACGGGAAATTATCACTGACAATTCTCAAGACAAGAACGTAAATTATTCTTTGTTGTTCATTTAGAGGTAGTGAAATTAAGGCTTCACTAAAGACGTGCTGGCAGATATACTTTATACGAAATATAGCCCATCTTTACCCGTTTAATTTTATCTGAAACTGAAAGCCAAACAGGAAAAATATAAGAAAGCGTTTTCTTGAGTGAATTAAAAATGAAAACAGGCAAAACTGGGTAATTGATAAAAGAGAGACTTGATGTCAGGGAGAACATAATCCTAGCCTTTCTTAAACTCAGTAATAATTCATCAAGTTTAAACAAAGGAAATCATGAATGTGATGGTGTTTGTTTGGATATATGATTACGATTATAATTCTCCATTTTCTCCTTGGTTTAGTTTCGATTGACAAGATACATCAAACACTCAAGACAATGTTTGACCACATTTCGAAACACCTCGAAGTTCGTCAAAAACACTCCGCTGCGCGTTGTGTTTTTAACTCCGTTCTCGGTGTTTGGAAATGTGGTCAAACACGGTCTTTCGTGTTTGATATATTACTTGAAAGCACACCTACACCTTTATAAGCACTTACAGTGGCAGGGACATAATCTAACTGTCTTCCACCGGTGTAGGAAACAATGACTCCATCAACTCCATATGCAACAGCCTCCCTTGCATCATCTGTTGTCAGAATTCCCTTTAGTATAATTGGTAGTTTGGTGATGCTTTTTAGCCAGTCCACAATTTCAAAAGAAATTGATGGATCAACCAGTGAGTCAGCAAAACTGTTGAAAGCCAAGCTACTAATGTGCTTACTTTGCTCAAAATTGGATGATTTCTTTGCTTCTGATAACTGGGATGCTTCAATGTTTGGAAGGTGTATTAAGTATGGCTGTAGAAGTGAGTGATTTTGGAAATCTGTCAGCCGTTTTCCAATCACACCTCCATCTACAGTGACAACAATTGCTTTGTATCCGGCTTTCTCTGCACGTTCCACAATGTTTCGCGTCACTTCACGCGATCTTGAAATGTATAGCTGCATCCATTCGAGTGAATCAGGAGCAGCAAGTGCAACATCCTCTAGAGCTGTTGATCCCACACTGCTTAGTATCATGCATGTCCGTGCCTTTGCAGCAGCTGCAGTTAAAACAATTCAATAGTAATATGACTAATGGCTTGTTTTGACCTCTGGGAAGTAGCCTTAGCTTATGAGAGGGAAGAAGAGGTCAGGATTTCCAGGTACTTGTATTCATCATCATGCTTTATCGACAGCGCGTTCTTTCCCAATTGCTGAGTTCAATTTCCGATAATTTTTTTTCACTTTATTCACATTGCATACATTACATTACATTTACAGTATATTACTTATCTACTTACATTACAGTGCTTGCTTCTAACAACACAGTACCTAAGTCTACTTATAAGTGAAGCCTGCCGGAGCTTATCCCGGTTTTTGTAGCATGAAGCGGCTAGTAGTATTTCTACTCCCCCTGGACGGGCTGCTATTCCATCGCAGGTCACTCCCCTGCAATTTGTTAGGTTTCCCCAACAATTCGTCGGTACCCATTTATAATCCTGGGTGGAGAGAGGCACTGTGAGAGTTAAGTGTCTTGCCCAAGAACACAACACAGTGCCCCCGGCCAGGGCTAGAACCCGGACCGCTCGATCCGGGGACGAGTGCACTAACCATGAGGCCACCGCGCCTCCACAAAGTCTACTTATATTACGCTACATTTCTTGTTATACTTAAACACTGCATATAACAACAATTGGATTAAGAACATCGGGCTGAAAGTTGGCCAATAAAGCACCATAGATATAAGAACCAATTCAGCTCAACTTACTTACAGACATCACTTACTTTATAAAACATTACTTGCTTACAATACGTTATATAACATTAATCACTTACAATATAATGTACTATATACTTACATCACTTACAATTCATGACGTTACCTACTTACAATACGCTGTATTATTACTTACAAACATCTCTTATCATAGGTTGCATCACAACACGATGCACAAAATTGGGAGAAACTATGATAAAATTGTTTAATTAATTATTTATCATTGATTATTAGTATTATTATTATCGACCATTTGCCTCAAGTTTCTATGCTACTCGTCAGTTGCTTAGAAATCCTGATTCCTGCCCTTGCCTTTCTTGCCTTCTGTAGACTTCCTCCCAGATTTATGCCCCCATGTTCACCATACCACTTACCTCAAAATTATATTCATCGACAAGAATAAATTAAATGAGTTTGATTGAACATCGCGGTAAACAGTATTGCACAATGAGTTGCAATGACTTCCAATTCCTACAAACAATGTGAATACCAGCCTCCCGAGTTCTCAAATATAATCGCAGCTCAATGGCAGTCTAACTTTGGGACAAAGAGAAGCAAAATCTCTAATGATGTTTAAAATTTTTGTCGTTTTTAAAATATTCTTCATTCAAATTCTCGAATCTGATTGGCTGTCAGCTGGCCTAATTTGATCAGGGCGGTGAATGTGCTATGTGTTTGTAACTGAACTGTTTATGGTCATGCCTGTGTAACTGTACAGTATACGTAATTTGCGCGCTGATTTTGGATGATTGCACTTGAATTCTCTCATTTTCTAATGCATCTCATAAACAGATTGTTGACTTAACTGATGTCTTCCTGTCTTCCTTTCATTCACCAAGAAGTTTTTTCTCAAATGTTTGTGTCATTCAGCTGTGATTAAGGTGGCTTACTAGAGTTTTAATGGATGATAACAGTGACATCACATTGAGGCAGCGTCCACGCTACGCCGGAGGAATTTGAAAACGCAGCTTTATTTCTACGGTTAGGCCTACCGCCCATACTAATCCGTCACGAAAACGGAGCTTTATCGAAAACGCCTTTCAAACCAGCTGAATTTGAAAACGCCGGCTTTTTTTTTCGTGTGGACGGAAAACATTTTGAAAATGGAGCCTTTTGAAAACGATGGCGTCAATTTCCCTGCCCGAGTTTTCTGCAAACACAAATCCAAAATGACCTGTGATGGTTGCGTTTTCAAATTTCTCCGCCGTCGTGTGGACGGAAAACATTTGATGCATCTCAGAGTGAAAACTCCGGTTTCAAATTCCTCCAGCGTCAGTGTGGAGCCGTGCACGGCATACAATTCATGTTCGGCCACCCATATAGTCTCGCTGCAGTTTGATTTTATTTACTGATGCACGTAACAATGAAAGCGGGTCTAAGGGCTGAAGGGGAAGGGCACTATATATGTCCTACTGTGAAGTTCTTGCCCGGCCTGAGTTCAAATTCTGTTGGCAATCATAACCAGTTTCGCAAATCGCATGTACAAATACAGACCAAATTAACTTGGCACACTGATTTCTCACATATTGCAGTTGCCAGTTCACCATCAGGGTGAGCAAGCTTATGCTTTCCGGAGGGTGCAATTCCAACCGGCATAGTGAATTTTTGTCCGAGAACTGTTGTGGTAAGGTCCACTTGAGATATCCCACGGAGAATGCGTGGTCTAATTCGCAACCTGAAAACAATTCAGTTATAATGGGTCATGGTTAATACCATTTTTTACAACAGCTGCAGAAATTCTCGCGCGCTCATTGGCTACCGTAAACTTCCGAAAGTAACGACCCGTGCACACCCATTGTTCTGCTTATTAAACCTTTTGTTCAGAGACGTTGCCGTTGCCTTCCTGGTTTTCTTCAGCTTAAACTCCCTATGAACAATCACTGCACACAACGGTTACCGTCTCGCGCGTCACTACACATCTGTGACCATCAATACACATCAATTATCGTGACTAAACACAATTTACTTTTACTAGATGATTATTTCTAGTGCTGGTGAATGATGTTTAGTGACGGTGAATGATATCTGGTGATAGTATTAAACGTTGAATGACGTCTAGTGATGGTGGAATATATAGATTTAGCCAAGCCTAACA